GTCAGACACGACTAAACGATGACGATGATGGATGAGATATATGGAGAAAGGGTACAAAAGCCAAGAAGTGCAGTGTAAATACTTAAAAATGAAGAACCAAGCTACATTGATCCAAAAGCCTACCTATTTGTTCTAAGGCCTGAACTCAGATTTTTATGTGAATATATTATTATCATCTCTTGACTTGACAACTATTATGTCTTCAAAGAAAGAAAGACTCCTGTAGGTGTAAAAGAAATATATTTTCATAATAAGTACTTCAGGGCTTTAGGCGTGCAACATTTTGAAAGCAATCCCAGTTTTCTCCTCCTCAGGTTCTAGTAAGCATCAATAACAAAATACCATCTTTGTGCAGAGCTTGCAATGTGTCTAATTAAGTTAAACACACTGGGTTTTACAATCCTCTTCTGATGCAATCTTTGAATAAATCTTTTTAGCTGCTTATCTCAGTTATCCTCAAGAGATAGCTGCTATCTCATCTGTATTAGAAAGGTATTTATTGTATCTAGTTTTAATCAATGCTTTTCTAAATGTAGGATCTGATTTTAAAATTGCAGCTATATTGCTTTTTTTCCTGGAAAGATGGGGTTATTTGCCCTTATGTGTTTGTGTACATCAAGTGGGCAGTTTCCACAAGTTGGAAAGCATTCTCTGTCTTTAGAACATAATCTGCATAGCTCAATGGTTTAGCTCTCTTGCTGTGGAGCCAGAGGTTTGGAGTTTGATTCCCCGCTGTGCCTCCTTGACAAGGGCTGGCTGGACTTCATCCATAGGGTCCCTGCCAGCTCTGCAGTTCTACGAGTGATGGGCTGTACTTTGCCACTGTTGCCAGTTCTGCTACAGGAGATCAGCAGAGCAATGCAAAATAAGCCTTAATTCCACTTTGAAAGTATCGTTATTTTAAAGCAAGGCATATGATCTCATATGTTATTGAGAACTAGATTCACAGTCTTGAAGGCTTCCCTGACAAAATGCCTGTATCCGTGAATGAGGTGTGGAGGTGAAGGTATGTGATTTCCTTGAAACCAAAAGATGTTCCTTTAAAAATGAAAATAGTTCCCATTTGTTGCTTTTCTCCCAGATTTCAGAGGCAGAATTGGCAGTGTTGATAGGACTTCTTTAAGCTCTTTGCTAGGCTGCAAAAAACAGGTTCCACATGGCCCACCCTTGTTTATATACACCAGCCCTAAACCACTAGAAGAACAACTAATAATGTTTACCATTTGTACAGTATTTTCATATTTCACAAGCACTTTACATGCATTATTTTGCAAAACACTTCACATGCATGCTATCCTTACAACAATACTTAATACTTAAAACAATACCTTAATACTAAGGATCTGAAGCTAAGAGAAGATGGTATGACTAAGGCAACTAAGAGTTCATGGCAAAAGGAAACTGCCCTGAGAAACGCTGGGTTTCTAGCTTAGGACCAAACTATACATGACAAATAAGTTTAATTAGAACTGAAATTGAGTTAGGGTTCTGGAGATTAGTTAGGCCGAGCTAGGCCACAAAGCTTCCAACGTAGGCCTTTCTCCCAGGTGAGATACTTTCCGGTGTCAATATGTCAGATGGAATTTCCAGAACTGAGATTATAGATCCGTAGTCCGAAAAACTTGAACATCCAATACTTAGGAGGAAGTACATAACCTGAACAATCCCTTGAGCAATTGTTGCCAATCAAGGCTCAGGTGAGTGTAACGGCTCAAGAGCGCCTTGGACCATTTTTGACTGTCCTGCCAGCCACAGACATTCTTGGTCATGGGCAACCTAGCTACAGTAGTTCATGTACTGATAATTTCCCAGTTACCGTATTTGCCGGTGTATAAGGCGAGTGGGTGTATAAGACGGCCTCCCAACATTCCCACTCAGAATGTAGAGTTTGTTATATACTTGCTGTATAAGACTACCCCCTCTTCCGCATGCGTGATTCTGCTTTGGCTGCATCATGGGGAGAGTTCCTTTTGCTCTTTTTGGTTCCTTTTCGGAGAGAGCCAGGGTTTGCTGGAAGGAATAGCAAAGAGGTGGCAGCCATTTTGAGAGGCAGCAGCCATGTGGTCGCATCTCAAAATGGCTGCCTCCTCTCTGCTGTTCCGACAGTCAGCTGTTCGGCGCTAGAGTCAGGCTGTTCCCAGGCTAGGAGTGGGGCTCTACTCGGTCTTACTACCAGGTAAGTGACTTTGCTGGGAGAGAGGGAGGGTTTGCTAGACATCCACCTGGCGTACAAGACAACCCCCCACTTGGAGGCATGTTTTTCAGGGCCAAAAAGTCATCTTGTACACCGGCAAATACGGTAGACGGTTGTAACGTACCGTATCTTTCCGTGTATAAGACTATATTTTTGTCTAAAATCTTTCAACTAAAAATTGAATGTCATCTTATACACGGATGTAAGCTGAGGAGAAAAAACAAGTGGAGGGGAAAGCAGGGATCAAAGTGATCCTGCAGGGGTTTGATCCCTGCTTTCCCCTCCACTCGCTAAGCCTTAGCAAAAGGAAAGCAGGGATCAAAGTGCTGCAGAATCGCTTTGATCCCTGCTTTCCCCTCTGCTTGCTAAGTCCCATGGGGCTTAGCAAAAGGAGGGGGAAGGATCAAAGCAATCCCATGGCTGTATAAGGGGGGAAAGGATCAAAATGATTATACAGTTGTGGAGTTGCTTTGATCGCTTTCCCCCTCCTTTCTCCCTCCACAAAGGGAGAAAGCAGGGATCAAAGCCACCCTGCAGCACTTTGATCCTTTTTACCCTACATTTGCTAAGCCCCTCTTAGATTTCTTAATTTTGGGTTAGAAAAGTGGGGGGGAGTCTTATACGCGGAAAAATACAGTAATTGCCTTGGGAGGTGGTGAGCGCTCCAACACTGGAGGCCTTCAAGAGGAAACTGGACAACCCTCTGTCAGATCTGCTTTGA